AGCTGATTGGTCGATAGCCATCAAGCCGAAGTGGATAGTTGATCTTTGCTGACAACGAAATGAAGGAAGCATTACACCCTCTTGAGATTTTACCACACCTTTCAAAGTGTTTTACTGCACCGAGCACATCACCTTTGATGATTTCCCAGTATTTTTTAAAAAGTTTAAGGGTGAAATTGTCCGGTCCCGGGGCCTACTCACTACCACAAGACCATACGACATTTTTTATTTCATCCACCGAGATCGGTGCTTCTAAAAATTCTGCATCATTTGGAGATAGTTTTCTAAATAATTCACTACTAAAACATGGTATTTTCTCCCATTTTTCATGGAATTTGCTGGAAAAAAATGGCACTACAGCGTTTTTCATCTCATCAAGTTGTGATATTCATTCTCTATTTACCAAAAAACCATGAATTTGGTTTCCCCTTGACCTGTTGTTTACATATCCATGAAAAAGTTTGTGTTCTCATCGCCATCCACCAACCATTTGATCCTTAACTTATGTCTGAGGTCTAAAGAGGCCAACGTTTCCAATTCCGAAATTTTGTTAAAGCTTTTAGCCCTATCCTCAATTTCAATATCAGACAATTGTCTAGATTCTGCCAACAATTCAATTTCTTCCATTATTTTTTTTGTATTTAGAAGTTCTTGGTTCTCCTTTTGAAATTCAATCGCCCTCCATTTCTTTATTTCACCTTTCAAGTGTTCTAATTTACAAGCTAAAAAGGCATCGGCAACACCAAATCCCTTGAATTCTTCCCAAGCTTTAAGCACAACCTGATCAAAACCTTCACATAGCATCCATGAGTTAAACATTTTGAATGGAGGTGGCCCAAAATCATCAACCTCCGTTTTAAGAATAACCGGTGAGTGGTCTGAGAGTTGTTTTAGGAGGGCAATGGAAGAAGCTAAAGGAAATTTGTCCATGAACTTTGAACAGACCAAGAATCGGTCTAATTTACTTAGCTTTGCACCGAATTGTTGATAGTAAGTGAATCTACCCCCCCGCCCCCCAAATCCCCTCCCCTCCCCCATCTTTAAGTCATACAGTTCTGCTCTTTTATGAACTGATTAAAAGACTCAGCACTTGACTTGCAGAAGACTGAGTTGATTCTTTCTTCAAGCCTCCGTACATCATTGAAATCGCCAAGTATTATCCAATAAGCCAATTTTAATTGTTTCAGGTTTAATAGATCACACCACAATTTTAATTTTTCAAATTTCGATTTAGGACCATTGTAACATCCTAATTTTCGAGTCCAAAAATTTTCGCTTTTAATTAAGTAATTTATAAGATTGTTTACTGAAAATATTTTCGATATCATATCAATCCATAAACCATCATGAGCATGTCTCAAAATCAAACATTGAACATTAATAAAAATCAGAGTACATCCCAGAAAACTCAATGCGGAAATCATGTGTGTGTGTGTGATGCGCTGCTATGCCATCGGTCCTTCCCCTTGGATGAAGAGGTACCTGAAACCAAAACTGAAACTGTAAGCACAAAGCTTAGTGAGTTACCCTATCATACCACATACTATACAATCATACATGTTGTTGGGCAATTCTGGGGTGTCCGACCTACCCATGTCAAAGCCATTCTGGGGTGCTGACTACTCGTGTCAAGCCATTTTGGGGTGCTAACTACCCATGTCAAGCCATTCTGGGGTGCCTTCCTACCCTCAGGTCTATCTCACCCAGTCACGGGGACTATTTCACCCCTACTACTATCACATAATAACCTATCATAAACATGTTGTCAAACATATCTGGGGTATCCGACCTACCCTTCGGTCCTAACAATCAATCGGGGGCCTATTCCCCTCCTACTACCACTATCACATAGAACATATCATACTGGCACATAGAACATATCAAGTAATAGCAAACCAGACAATTATCACAAAGACAATCATCTCAACTGTAATCACTACTAGTGGGTCGGCCTTGGTGCCTTGGACTCACTTCTACTGGAAGGTAACTCACCTCGCCAAGCTGAGTGTCGAATCCTATGGGAAGTAACTTCTAACATCTGCTCCGATAACTCCCGGCTATCAAAATCATAATAATACTTAGTCAGCATCTATAACAGCCCTAAGGGTAAAATGGCCGTTTTACCCCTAGGTCCGAGTGGAACATTCATAGGTCCTGATTCTAGCTTATTAGGTCCCGCCCTCCAATGTCTCATCAAGGACTCCTTAAGGGCCCACTAATTTTCCAATAACTGAATTGGGCCTTAACCCCCAAATGGCCCCAAAAGTTCCGAGTCCTAATATATAATGATTCCAAAGGGTCCAATCATGGCCCAATAGGCCCAATACTCAAGTTCCAGATTCCCAAGTCTAGAATTATACTTCACAGTGGCCACGGGGCCCAAAAGTCCAGGCCTATTTTCTTAAGGCCTAAAATCCCAAAACATTTATTCTTCATGCGTATGCACGACGTACTTGGAACGTACGCCCAACGTTTGCTAGCCTTGACCCGGACGGGGAGTTGATCCAGTACGCGCGGCGTACCAGGGAGTTCGCCTAGCGTACTGGCCAGCTTCATTGGGACTTCATTCATGACTTAATCCGTTAAGTCTTTACGTCCAAAATGCAGATCCAGGTCCTTTAAGACCTCCTAAACCATAAAGTCACAAACTTTATGTGTTTGGATGCAGGGTTGGGTCAAAACATGATTTTGGTCCTTTTAACAAACTTTAAGACCCATAAACACTTGCATGGTTGTGGCTTAACCATCAAGGTCCGATTTTTATGAATCTTAGTGCCTCTAAGAGCCCAAAAGGACAACTATTATGGTTTGAAATTGTTAAGATGCAAGAAGCCTCAACAATGAAGTCCAGAATTAACTTTAAACACCTTCCATAAGCAAATCTAAGAATATAATGGCCAAGGTTGGAACTTGATACCTCAAATAAGTCAGAAATGGTGCTAATCTTCTGGATCTACAAGCTCTTGGTGGTTCCTTGCTCCTTCTTCAAGTTCCTTCCTCTTCCAAAGCACCAAAACTACACAAAATACTCTCAAATAGCTCCCAAATCACAAGAACACATAAAAGTAGGCTAAGGTTTTCGTGGAGGCTATATGAGGGTGAAGGGAGGCTGAAAAACAGGGGTAATGTTCTTTATATAGGGAGTAAAACCTAAATTTTAGGGTTTAAAGAGTTGGACACGTACGTTGGGTGTAATCCTGGTACGCTGGGCATACTTGCTTGGCCTCCGCGCTTCCTTTCCACGAGTACGTTGGGCGTACATGGCAATGTACGCCTCGCGTACGCAGCTTCCTCAGCCCACTCGCAAGGCCCAAACCAAACCAAACCAAACCACACCACACTTCAATTAGGATGAATAATAATAATAATAATACCTGGAAAAATCCCGGATGCTACAGCCATAAACGTTTACTACCGCCAGAAGTCCAATAATATATGGACAAGTACCAATTATTGCTAGGAAGTACCTGGATTTAATCGTCTCCTCAATATTGAAGAAGTTATAGTCCCATACAGTGAGTAATCCCCTCGATCTGCCTACCGCATTAACGAATTTAAATCCGTGATTGTCATTCCCCCAACACCTTGAGGTATCGAGTGAGCGTTGTAGGTCATTTAGTTGGGTTTCTTGAAACATCATGAGTACCAGGTTATGTGATCTTCGTAATCTGCAAGCCCAATCAACCTTGTGTAACGAATATTGAGAGTCATTATATTCATTGGGGAATACGTATTTCACATTCTTCTTCCATGACCTCGGTGAGGACTGGGTCTCCATTCTCAATTTCAAAACTGAGGAATTGACCAATCTCCATTGTTTTCCTTGTCTCATCAATTGGTAATATCAAATCCGGGGAATCTTGAAGAGGGATCTGTTTAGGCATAATTATGTTAGGGTTGTTTAGATCGATCGATAATTGCTTTGAAGGTGATTCGGTACATGTGGTCCTACTACTTCGACGTCGTTTGTCAGTCGTACTGCTAGATTCATATATGCACATCACGTTTTGGGCATTAGAGGGATCCAAAGGCAGGGATGGCCCAGTGGGCAAGGTGATACCTTCACCAGATGGAAGAGGCCCAAAGCAGCCCATAGTTGCTAATTTTTTATTGACCCATGACGATCTGTATCGATCTCCGTGTTACTTAAGTTTAACTTATTTTCCTCGATAGGGGGATGGTTTACCGCCTCCTGATTATATTCATCATTAATAATCTCGACATCGATAACCTGCTTATTTCCAATTGACGGCATAATTTTATTCTCACAATGTGACTTTTGGACTCCCATTGACTCCTCGACTTCCACACGATTTACATGCTTTTCGGTCGTCACCGGAACGAAAACTTCTCCGATGACTTCATCTCGGATTTCACCTTCTTCCAAAATCCTCTCATCTAGATTTGTCGTTGTGTCAACGAAATCACCTGTTTCTATTGTTCCCCTGGGCTCAACAAATTCAATTATGTTATAAGGTCCATTTGGGAATGGGGACCAATCAAAGTCTCTTTCAATTATCCCAACATTGAAGATGTTATAATTAATTTCCACTGGAATTTCCTCATTAATTCTTAACTTCTTTCTCATCAAGACACATATGTTTCCCAGGGATAGATCCTGAGAGCTTGGAAGGATCTCCACTGGTTCTAAAACTTTTCCGAACTCACCGGCAATTCTGGAAAAGTTTACTTCATTCCAGAGACTAACACGAAGTCCAACGATTTTAACCAACCAAGTCTCAAATTTTCCAATGCATGCATCTCCGGTCTTGAAGTCTTTGAACCATTCACCCCAAACATTCTTCATTGATAAGAATTTTTTAACTTCAGATGAGGACTAGAAACGAATGCCAACGATAAGTCCACCAAGATACTTCATATTGTATGACTGTTCGTTACCCATTCTGAACGCAAGTGGGATTCTCTGTAATTTCCCTAGGCTGATAACTTCTCCAACAACAGTTAATGGACTGTGAAACCATTCCTCCATAGTTGATTTTTCAATAAGTGTCACCAGTTTTTTTGAAAGGGGAGGTGCTGGGGTCGGGGCTGAGCAAGTATCCCAATCGCAACTTCCACAAATGATCTACCATCACGAAATGATTGATATGTGGTCTATGTCCGTTATGGGGTTTTTCCTTCCATCCTTTGACTGACTTGTCTGTCACCTTTCTTTCAAACTTTGCTATATTAACTTCCAGTAGAGACCCCAAACACTTGATTGATTGTAAACCTGCTTCCAACTCCCATTCTTTGTTTACCTTTCTGAATCTTACAAAAGCAAACTTCTTCTTTGAGTCTGTTTTTGTCGCCATGTAAACGTCTGTTAGCTCTCCATATTTGTTGAAAGTCTTCCTTATTGTCTCTTTGTTCACGCCATCCGGAATGTTGGATACAAACATGGTAGTAACCCCTTTGTGATCACTCATGTTTAATTAATAATTTACTGAAAATAATTGATTAATAATTATGAATTTTTACTATAAAAATTTAATTATTTTTGTAACCATAGTTTCCATGGGCTAGCCTAGTATTTAATAAAGTAAAAGTAAATTGTTTAATAGTTATTACATTTAAAATATATCTACTTATATTTAATAAATTATGGATAAATAAATATAAAATGTGAGGAACTAAAAGTCTAAAAGTGACAAGATGAATTTTTAACGCTTTAGATATTAGGAATAATATAACATCAATTTATTTTATATTATTCATGTACATTGTAAAAAAATACTTTTATATATATATATATATATATATATATATATATATATATATATATATATATATATATATATATATATATATATATGGTGAGGTTCAATAGAGAATCATAATCAACCAAAAAACCAATCTTTGTTTCAACTTTTAGAACTTATTTTTTATCAAAAAAAAATCATAACTTTTTATTTTTTTCCAATGATATCAAATTTGATTTTTTTACGTCTAATTCACAATGTGAATTTTTTAAAATTCACAATGTGAATTTTTTAAAATTCACAACGTGAATCCGAAAAATATTTTTCACATTCACAATGTTAATATATGAATTTAGATACTTTTAGATTTTTTTCGATAAAGAATAAGCTTTAGAAATTGAAAAAAGATTTGGTTCCTTGAAGAACCAATAATTATGGTTCTCTATTGAACTTTTCCACACACACACACACACACACATATATATATATATATATATATATATATATATATATATATATATATATATATATATATATATATATATATATATATATGAGGGTTCAATTGAGAAAAAAAAAGGTTGATAATGGGAAAATCATTCTCAGTTAATAATTTATTTTTGTCACAAAAGCCTCCAACGTACCGACGAAAATGGAAAAGGAATGCACATGTGTTTTCCAACAAAACATATTTCCTTAAACTATATTAATCATTACCTTAATATATACAAAAACATAGTTTTTTCGTTTTTTTTTTTAAAATTTTAGAAGATATTTTTTATCAAAAAATGATTTTAAATATACCAAAATTCATGATTTTTTATTCTTTAACATTGACATCTATATTGATATAGTTTTAAGATAAAATAATAAAAAAAAATTATATTTTCAGCTATCGTTATTCATAAGTGAATAAAAATGCATCAGATTTTATTACAGTACATTCGTTATTCACTTATGAATAAAAAATATGATTTTTTTTAATACAATTTAAGTATCATTCATATAAGAATATAGCATATAATAAACATAGTATATTCATATTTTAATATTGGACGATGCATTCACTTGTAAATATTAACATAGTATATTCACTTGTGAATATTAGATGGTATATTCACTTATGAATATTAAATGATATTTCATATGTGAATATAACATAGTATATCACATATGAATATTACATAGTATATTCATTTGTGAATATTATATGATATATTCAATTATGAATATTACACAGTATAATCACATATGAATATTACAAGGTATATTCACTTGTGAATATATTCACTTATTAATATCTGAATGTATTTTGACAAATATATATAATTTTTATATGTTATTCACATAGGAGTAACATACAGACTTACATATTTGTTAATATTCATATACTGATTCATGTGAGAAAACATATTCATATGTGAATATAACGTGATAATTTAGTTTATGCATTTTATCAAACAGTTTGAGTGCATACAAGTTAACTATTTTAAAAGTGTTAAAAACATCAAGTTATCAATTCAAAATCATCATATACTTTTGATTTCGACTTTAAATGCGACATGCTATGTCTGATCGATTTCTCATTTTGATTTTGATTTTCGAAAATCCGATTGGGAACCTGTGAGTACCGATTCTGAATCTTTCAATGTCGACTGTGACTGCGAACCCAGAACTCTGATTCCAATTTCATGAACAGCGAAGAAATTTCGATTTAGTTGAAGAAATATGTATGATTATTGAAGGTTGGAGGAAAATTTTTGATGATGAACGAACTATTATCGAATTCTCTATAGTTACGTATTTGAGATTGAAGGTTATTAACATATTTACAAGTTTGTCATCATGTCTTTTTATGCTTAGATTAAGTGAGTGATTGAGAATGATTCTCCTATTCTCAATATTTTTTATTTTCTTAATTGAACCCACCTATATATATATATATATATATATATATATATATATATATATATATATATATATATATATATATATATATATATATATATATATATATATATATATATATATATATAAAGGATTAAAGAAAATTTTACATCATTGTATGTAAAAAATGAGATTTGATTTTGGATTGAAGATGCCTTAAACTCACATAAAACAAAGTGCGGTTTAATTAATACGAAGAGACGACATGATCTAAATCATTTGATTTTGTGCTTTTCATGATTATATTAAAAGTTAAATAATTTATATTTGACTTTTTAAGTATGAACTGAATTTTGTTCCAAATTTAATATATTGGATTAAATTACAATTGTACATAAAAATAAAATACGGAAGACATCAAGACATTAAATATCCTATAAAAATCAGAAGTGAAATTATTTTGAGAAAAGAGATAGAATAAACAAGTATTTGCGAGGTCCAATAACAAAAGTTGCATGTGATATGATTAGAAGTCTCATTAAACTAGGTACTTAATTAATAATTTAATAAGAGCTTAAAAAAGCACCAAATTCAATGCATATCATACCCTCCAAACATCCAACAAAAATGTGAACTTTCAAAATATTACAAACCTTTATGTATCACACTCCAACTTACTAATATTTTGTTTCTATATTAACAAATAGTATGTAAATTCCAAAAATAACCCTTAACAAACAAACTGAAAAAATGTTGCATCTTTACAATAAAAACAAGGGTTTTGGGGCCAACATCCGACCAAGACCATTGAATCTCTCAAAACGCCAAAAAAGGATGGTGTTTTGGATGAAGTTTCTTCCTAGGGTTTATTCATTCTATTCAAATTATTGGTCTCTCATCTTGAGTGTTGGTTTTTTGTTTTAGTGATTATTTTAAACCATATGAGCTCGAGACCAAAACAAGGTCTTGATTTATATCATCAATAAACCATACTAGTTCGAGTTAAATACATTTATATCATGTTGAACTGATTTTGGTTTAATGATTATATTAAACCAATATCAGCTCGACACCAAAACATGGTATTGGGTTATACCAATCACTAAACCATACCAATTCAAGTTTGATAAATTTCTATCATGTTGAGCTCGTTTTGGTTTAATGATTATATTAAACCAAGATCAACTCGAGACCAAAACATAGTCTTGATTTATATCATCACTAAACCATACCAATTCGTGTTCGATATATTTCTATCATCTCAAGTTGGTCTTGGTTTAATAATTATATTAAACCAGACCAATTCATGGTCTTGTTTTATATCTTTACTAAACCAGACCATCTCGGGACCAAAGCAGTAGAAATCTGAACCGCTTGCCCTTCGAAGTGCGGGTATAAACCGTAAATGTCATGAAACAACACAAAAGTTTGTTTTTCACAATTTGAATTAATTTCCGTTTTTTGCTGTCAAGATTACAACAAAAGACATGACCTAAACATAATTAGAATCGAGATCAATGTTTTTAGCTGCCAAAAACAGCCCAAAAAACATCTTCGATACATTCATAAACATATCCAACATACTAAGAACATCAATAACTACCGTATCTTGTTCTTTCTTCGATTTCCGAACAATTAGCAACATTAACATAATTAAAATTCACCCAAAAGGTTAACAACTTCCGATGATCATCATCTTTCAACCGACACCTTTCAGCACCTCCAAGCAGAAGCCGACACGAGCTCCCGACGTTGCCAGCAAAGCACAAGCAACGATTGTCTCTTCTCCACATGGAATTCACGAACAGGAGTCCTCTTCACCAAACACTCTGCTTGACTTTCTGTAAAATTACTGAACATCAATGGCGAAAAACCAGCAGATAAGAACAGATTTCGCCAATGCTGAGTCTTTTCAGGGAAAAGAAACCGACCCAAAACGATCTTTTCAATAGCGGGTTGAATCAAGAACCGCTCGATTTTCTGCAACAAGTCGTGGGTCATGTTCCCAGCGTCGAGGGATTCAAGCAGGTTTGAATACGATTGGAGGGCGTGAATCAAGTGATTAGAAAACGGTAAATCGGTTCTATCGCACCCTCGGTCAACAGAAACAACGATTTTGGGAGATAGATTTTTCACGAATCGGAGAACTGAAGGGATTTGGGTTTGGTGATTTGAGAAGACATGAATTGGTAGGTTCACAGCAATGGCTTCGTTGTCAGATACATGAAAGGGTAACGACCATGAAGAAGAAGCAAGAACGTCAATGTTAACAATCTCGAAGTCAAATCCAACGTTGATTTCACTGGCGAAATGGATCAAATTCTCCCGGGTTAACCCTAATTCCAGCTGGTCGTGGCTTGAAGGTGAAGCAAAAGCTGTGATTTTTAACGAGGAAACGCCATTGTTACGTAAAGCAAGCTCTTGCATAAGTGAAGCCCATTGACCTCCATAACCAATATCGAAATCGATGATGTGAATCTGATCAAACCCATTAAGGGATTCAAGTAGTGCTTGATTACAAGTGAAATTAGCGAACTGAATGAAAGGGGAGATCTCTGAGAATGATTTGTAAGCACCGATCTTGAAGATTAAACTAAAAGGTGAAGCGGTAGGGGTAGTTTGGGGATTAATATTGTTGAGTATCGAGTGTGTGAGTAATTGAAGAGCTTCTTTGAAATAAAAAGCTGCCCTTTCGAAAGGCTTACCGACTGGTGAAAGCTGATGATTGAGCCGCGCCAATATCCCTTGCGCGAGTATCGGATTGTTCCCGGATTGGATCAAATCTGCTGCTTTGAAAAGCTGGTCAATGATCCCTTGCTGATGCTGCTGCTGATGATGAT